AAAAAAAAAAAAAACCAGCCCAAGAAGGAAAGTCTGTGAAACTCTTTTCACCAACTAACTACCAAAAAACTCTAAATTTGAGTTTTGACTCAACTGGCAGAAGTGCTATCCTTGAGCAAAAAAGTTCAAAGACATCCTTGGGCCAGGATTCAAGGCCCAAGCCTGGGAAAGAGAAGGAAGGAAGGAAGGAAGGAAGGAAGGAAGGAAGGAAGGAAGGGGGGGGGGGAGGGAGGGAGGGAGGGAGGAATTCAAAAGAAAATATAATTGAGTGTAATGGGACTCTTTAAAAGCAACCACGTAAGTCTTCACCAGATAGGAAGTCAAATAAGTCAATGGAAAAATGGGAACTGAAGACCAGAATTAGGGTTCTATATGTAGTTCACTGATATAGTATATGCTTACTATGTGCAAGACACTGGGCTCAGTCTCTAGCACCAATAAATAGGTAGGTAAAGACTAAAACGATCTTGGGAAAGAGAATTACAGAAAACAGAAATTGTTTTTTTCATGTAACAAACATTGAATAAATTTTTTTTAATTTTTATTTTTTATTCTTGGGTCCGGTCATGGGACCTGAACTCTGGGCCTGGGTGCTGTCCCTCAGCTCTTCAGCTCAAGGCTAGCACTCCACCACTTGAGCCACAGCACCACTTCCGGCTTTTTTCTTTTTGCTTATGTGGTACTGAGGAATCGAACCCAGGGCCTCATGCATGCAAGGCAAGCACTCCACCACTGAGCCACTTTCCCAGCCCCTGAATAAATTTTTGAAAATTTTATTAACTTAGGTATGTAAAACTGAAGACTGTAGTACACAAAAATAATATTTAGCCGGGCGCCGGTGGCTCACACCTGTAATCCTAGCTACTCAGAAGGCTGAAATCTGAGGATCATTGTTCCAAGCCAGCCCGGGCAGGAAAGTCCGTGAGACTCTCATCTCCAATAAATCACTAGAAGTGGCGCTGTGGCTCAAGTAGTAGAGTGCTCACCTTGAGCGGAAGAGCATAGGGACAGAGCCGAAGCCCAGAGTTCAAGCCCCATTACCGACCAAAAATAAAATAAATAAAAAATAATATTTATATTAACAAGATAGAAACAAATGTAATACATGAAAGGCTGACAGAATCATAAAAAATACACTCAAGTAACCTTTCTTAATTGCTTTGGAGAGCTGTTCATTTAAAACACTGAAAACTCATGCTGAAAACCCTTTTAGAATCATTTTAATTTATGTTGTTATAACAATTTCATGTTAATAAATCTTTATGCGAGATTAACAATGTAAGATTTTTTTACCAATGCAGCATTTCCAAATGGCAAACATTCTGTTATGTGCACATAAAGTTTTGCTTAGCCAGCTAAGAAAGCATTGAAATTGCCTTAAGTAACCAAATTATTAGCTGGGCTCTGGTGGATCATCCTTATAATCCTAGCAACGAGTCTGATATCTGAGGCTGATGGTTCAAAGGCAGCAATTAACCACCCAAAATCTAGAAATGGAGCGGTGACTCAAGTAGTAGAACACTAGCCTTGAGTACAAAAACTTAGTGAGTGTCCAGGCCCTGAGTTCAAGCCCCAGGACTGACACCAACTACCCTCCCCTGCCCCAAAACACACACACACACACACACACAGACATCACACACAAACACCCTGAATCATTCTGTGTCACACTAATTCACCACATGGAAAATGAATTCCAGATTAAAAAATTTAAAAATACAAGAAAAAGGCTGGGAAGGTGGCTCAGTGGTAGGCAGAGTGCTTGCCTTGCATGAATGAGGCCCTGGGTTCAATTCTTCAGCTCCACAAAAGCAGAAAAGGCCGGAAGTGGCGCTGTGGCTCAAGTGGTAGAGTGCTAGCCTTGAACTGAAGAGCTGAAGTGCCCAGGCCCAGAGTTCAGGCCCCACAACTGACCAAAAAAAATTTTTTTAAAGGTGGCATTTGACATTTCATTTCACTTTCTGGAAATAATCCCTAAAAATTCTAATTTTTAAGAAAAATTTAAACATATTTTTAAAATTTTTATTTAAATTTCTTAAATTTATTCAAACATGTTTCATTATTCTACTTTCATATATGTAAACTTCTTCAATCATGTTCCCCCTCATTCATCTTCTTCACTCTCTCCATTCCTACTGATACTTGCCCAGAAGAGCCTGTTTTACTTTGTCATTTTTTGTGTGTATATTAATTATTCTAAGGCATTTCACTATGGTATTTTGCTTTTGCATGTATTATATTTTAACCAGACCAACCCCCACTATTGCTCTCTTCTTGACTTTCCAATGGTCTAAGTGAGATCCCTTAGGCCATCTTCATATTCTAAGTATACAATGTTTCAATAGTATTCACCTTCCATCACTCTCTTCCTTCCTCTCTTCCCATAGTTATAACAGTCCCATAGTTATGATTAAATTCTATATATGAAAATGTACAGTATATTTATAGTGTGTATGTATTGTATGTATTTATACACACATACACATGTGTTTTTAAAGTCTAGATTCCCCATATGAGAGAAAACATTCCATATTTGGCTTTGTGAACTTGGCTTACCTTGTACAACTTTCCAGCAAATGACATAATTCATTTTTTTTAAAGGCTGAGTAATATTCCTGGTATATATGTAGTACACTTTTTTATCCATTCATTGACTATTGGCACCTTGCCTGATTTTACCTCTTGGCTTTTGTGAACAGTGCAGCAATAAATATAGGTATGCAGATGTCTCTCTAGTATACCGATTTAAGACTTCTTTTTGATGTGTGTGTGTATGCATGCTTGTCAGTACTGAACATGTGTGTGTGTGTGTGTGTGTGTGTGTGTGTGTGTGTGTATGCGTGCTTGTCAGTACTGAACTCAGGCCCTCTTGCTTAGCTTTTTCACTCATGGCAGTCTACTACTTGAATCACACTTTTAGTTTTATTTCCAGCCTGCCTGGGCTGGTTTCACCTGCAACCATAAGATCTCAGGACTGGCATTCATAGCTGCATTCCCACAGCCTTCCAAGATTAGCATTATCTCTTATTCTCGGAGCTCCAGTTGAAGGAGGAAGTTGGTGAGTAAGGCCTCTCTATACCATAGCTTGTACCAAGCATCCAGCTAGCAAAATACACCCAGGAAACAACTGGCAACAAAGCTACTCACAAGAGTACAGCCTCTCCTAGAAGGGTGGAGAGACCTTATCATTAAAGGCCTAGTACAGTGGCACTTTGTGAAATTAGACACTACCAGAAGTCCACTGAACTTCTGATATGCAAGCTCCCTATCCACTGTCTGGTGCGAGAAATTGCTCAGGACTTCAAAACAGATCTGTGCTTCCAGAACCCAGCGATTGGTGCTTTACAGGAGGCAAGTGAGGCCTATCTGGTTGGCCTTTTTGAAGTTACCAATCTATGTGCTATACATGGCAAATGGATAACAATTATGCCAAAAGATATCCAGCTAGCATACCACATAGATGGAGAAAGTGCTTAAGAATCCACTAAGGCTGGGTGCTGATGGCTCATACCTATAATCCTAGCTACTCTCTTCAATTAACCACTCAAAAATCAGAAATAGCACTGTGGCTCAAGTGATAGAGCACTAACCTTGAGCATAAAGAGGCTCTGGGACAGCGCCCCGGGAACAGTGCCCAGGACTGGAGTTCAAGCTCCACAACTGACAAAAAGGAAAAAGAATCCACTAAGATGGAAAACATTTCATTCTCAAAAAGTTTTCTCAGCAGGGTGCTGGTGGCCCACGCCTGTAATCCTAGCTACTCAGGAGGCTGAGATCTGAGGATAAAGGTTCAAAGCTAACTGGGGCAGGAAAAGTCCTTGAGACTTTTATCTCCAATTAACCACCAGAAAACCAGAAGTGCTGTTGTGGCTCTGGTGGTAGAACACTCTCATTCAGCTGAAGAGCTCAGGGGCAGAGCTCAGGCCCAGAGTTCAAGCCCTATAACCAACAAGAACAAAAAGGTTTCCTTCTCATTTTCTTGTTATCAGTAGTTCTGAATGTTAGATTTTTTTCCCCCCATGGGGTCAAAAAGTACCTAAGTATATGACTGCCAGGAGAAAAATACGGGACAGAAATCAGGATTGGCATTTTTTCCACTCTCATTTGTGTGTGAATTTTTAATATAACTGCAGGAATGTACTGCATTAACGCAAGTCAAAATGTTTCCGTGAACAAGTTTCAGCAGTTCAACTTTATAACAATTATAAATAAACCTATTAAATTTTCTGGACAATGCCAGCATTTGGACTTTTTTTTAATAAGTACATTTCTTTTTTTTTTTTTAAGTTTTTTTTTTTTCTTGGGTCCGGTCATGGGGCCTGAACTCTGGGCCTGGGCGCTGTCCCTCAGCTCTTCAGCTCAAGGCTAGCGCTCTACCACTTGAGCCACAACGCCACTTCCGGCTTTTTTCTTTTTTCTTTATATGGTGCTGAGGAATCGAACCCAGGGCCTCATGCATGCAAGGCAAGCGCTCTACCACTGAGCCATCTTCCTAGCCCATAAGTACATTTCTTATTAATGGCAAAAAAAAAAAAAAAAAACCAAGATCTCAGGATGCTGAGTAGCTAGTATAAACCACCAGTATGTTTAGTTGGTTTGGTTTGGGAATTTTGGTCATAGGGCTTTAACTCAGGGCCTACATGTTGTCCCTGTGCTTAAGTCTAGGGCTATACCACTTTGAGCCAGAGATCTACTTCTGTTGTTCTAGTGGTTAATTGGGGATAAGAGTTTCATGGACTTTCCTGCCTAGTGGGGCAGGAAATCATCCTCCTAGTACTTAAGATTACAGACATGAGCCACCAGCGCCCAGATGTATTTCATTTTTTGAGGAATTTTTAGATGTATAGTGGTTATTACCAGTTTACATTCCCACCAACAAAATATAAAGAGTCCTTTTTCCCTTTTTCCTCACCAGTATATGTAGTTGTTTATAAAACATGCTTTCCAAGATACATTTCTTTGTCCCGACATTAACACTGTCATAACAATCAGAAACCCACCTCAGTATGTCTTTGATGTAATGCATTATATTCTTTCTTCAGTTCTGCTTCTCTTTCTTCAAGTCTGCTAACTGAAATTAAGACATACACACTTAATTAAAACAAAATACACAGTCAGAAATTTACTTGGACAAAACCTATCTTGAGTTATCCATAATTGTTAGACCTATAATCTACAGTACTCATATGAAATTCTGCAGTGACATCATTTCACCACCTTAATAAATAACACTTCTGGAGATGAGGAGAACAAAGGGAGTGAGAACAAAACACCCGATCACATGTGTTTTTAATGTGATTTGAAATTACGTCTTTCAAACACACAGTTAATTCTGTGTAAGTCTTAATGTGGAATCAAAACCCAAATCATTGATTTCTACCATTTTTCAGTATTCTTCACTCTTTCAGTACTAACAGTTTATGAAAGCCTCACTGTTTCTAAGTACTCTTCTGCTTTTCCAGTCTTGTCAATTTCAGGAATTCATCCTCTTTTATTTAGCTCCCTCTGCTGATAGATTTTGTGAGTGGCACTGATGTGGACCTGTGCTCACAGAATACAACTTTCATGATGTCAAAAGAAAAGAGGAAAGGTTTTAGATCCCAAGATACAGAATGTTAAAATAGGATCTCACAACAGAAAATAATTAACAGCAAAGAAGATTGACTCTGAGAAGTGGTGGGATCTGAGTGAATCCAAGAAGAAATTATACTACTTAAGCCAAATAATAATGAAGTGTTCCAGAGAAGTGAGCACAAAATCAGTTGGAGGAGTTCATAAGTGGGCATAGTCAGAGTGCCAGTGGATTATCCAGATACTCAACTGTGTTAGAAAGTCTTGGTTGGGGGCTGGGAAGGTGGCTCAGTGGTAGAGCGCTTGCCTTGCATGCATGAGGCCCTGGGTTTGATTCCTCAGAACCACATAAGCAAAAAGAAAAAAGCTGGAAGTGGCCCTGTGGTTCAAGTGGTAGAGCGCTAGCCTTGAGCTGAAGAGCTGAGGGACAGCACCCAGGCCCACAGTTCAGGCCCCACAACCGGACCCCCCCCACACAAAAAAAGTCTTGGTTGGAAATGTTCTCCTAGAGTGAAGGTCAGTCAGGAGGTAACACGCAAGTCTGTTTGTAATCTATAACCTGTGACTGGCCAAGAGCTATAGAAGCAACTAACACTCCAACAACTTGCATATGAATATGCTTTATATGCCTAATGTTCACTGACACCAAACAAAATGTAGCATGTGCTACCCAGTAAACTCACCTTGGTTCTAATACCTTTGCCTGCCATAAATAATCTGAATAGCTTAGAAACAGGTCATTCTTTAAGAAAATTGTACCTCTTTTTGTTTTGATTTGCTTCTGATTCAAGCTTATATGTTTATCAGCCCATTAATGGATGAGTAAATTCACAACACAATATACATGCAACACAGCTTAACATACCAGGAAAGGATTGAATACATCACAACTAGTAGCACATGTGTATTTGTGCTAATACAATGGGTGCTGCAAGATTTGGTGCTTTTTTGAGGTGGGGTGAGAAATATTGGCTTTTGAAACCCAGGGATTACGTTTTGCTAGGAAGGCACTCTATTGCTTGAACCAGGCTCCTGGCCCTTTTGGCTTGTTTCTCAAATTGGGTCTCATTTTTGGCCTGGACCACAATCCTCCTATGTATACTTTCTTTATAGATAGTACGACAGGTACACATCACAATGCCCAGCATTTATTGGTTGAGATAGGTCCCTTGGATGACTTTATTTTACCTGAGCTGACATGCAATGAGATCCTGCACATTTTAGTAGCTAAGATTATGTAAATGAGTCACCACACCTGGCTTTAGTGCTGCTTATTTTTTAAAAAGAAAAAGAAAAACACAAGCAAAATAGTAAACATTTTCTATACTTTTGAATAACTTAATTCATATAAACACTTAGGGAAATCCTGAGACTACTGGACAAATCATATCTACTTTAAATTATTGATCTTTTTCAAATCAGTAATTTCTTGTCGGGGTTAGTAACTTTTTTGTGTATGTGCTGGTCCTGTGGCTTGAGCTCAGGGCCTAGGTGCTGTCCCTGAGCTTTTGCTCAAGGCTAGTGCAATACCACTTGACTCACAGTGCTACTTCCTTAATCAGTAAACCAGTCTTTTTTTTTTTGGTTGTGGGTCTTGAACTCTGGGCCTGGGCGCTGTCCCTCAGCTCTTCAGCTCAAGGCAAGCACTCTACCACTTGAGTCATAGTGCCACTTCTGGTTTTCTGAGTGGTTTATTGGATATAAGAGTTTCACAGCTTTTCCTGCCCGGGCTGGCTTTGAACGAAGATCCTCAGATCTCAGCCTCCTGAGTAGCTAGGATTACAGGCATGAGCCACCAGCGCCTGGCAAGTATTTTCTTGACATGAAACCAAAAGAAAAAAAAGGATGGTGAAGTGAAAACAAAATCCAAGTATGATTCATAAACTTCAATTTCAAATTTATGCTCAATAGGAAAGCCTTATTATTCTGTTTTGAGGGTGAAACTCAGAACCTATACTTGGTAAGCAGTGCTTAAGCATCTTTTTTTTTTGGGGGGGGGGTCCAGTAGTGGGGCCTGAACTCTGGGCCTGGGCGCTGTCCCTCAGCTCTTTAGCTCAAGGCTAGTGCTCTACCACTTGAGCCACAGCGCCACCTCCGGCTTTTTTCTTTTTTGCTTATGTGGTGCTAAGGAATCGAACCCAGGGCCTCAGGCATGCAAGGCAAGCACTCTACCACTGAGCCATCTTCCCAGCCCCTGCTTAAGCATCTTGAGCTATATCTCCAGCCCTTTTGGCTTCAGTTATTTTTCAGGTATAGTATTGTTTGTCCTTGTTCAGCTAGCCTAGACTTTAATTCTTAGTCTTCCAAGTAGCTAAGATTACAAGTATAAATCACAACACCCAGTAGAGTTAGAATCAATTAACTCATCAACTTGACATGAGTTCATAAATTTGTATCACCACCATCATTAACACCAGATAACATATAGTGCTTATTATATACAACGAACTGTTCTATGAACTATATACAGTCTATTAACCTTATGATGGAAAAATCACCATTACATTCATTTTAGATATAAGGAAACTGAGGCAAATTGGGGTTAACTTACCCAGTCACAAAGGTAATTCTCTAATAGAAGAGTCTGGCTCTAGGGCTGGGAATGTGGCTCAGTGGTAGAGTGCTCCCCTAGCATGCAGGAAGCCCTGGGTTTGATTCCTCAGTACCACATCCACAGAAAAAGCCAGAAGTGGCACTGTGGCTCAGTGGTAGAGTGCTAGCCTTGAGCAAAAGAAGCTCAGGGACAGCGCCCAGGCCCAGAGTTCAAGCACCAGGACTGGCAAAAAAGAAAACAAAAACAACAAAAAAAGAAGAGTCTGGCTCTAGAACCTGTGTTCTTAATTACCATGCTACACTGGCACTCAGGAAATACTCATCTGTTATATACAATGGAGTCTCCTTTATGATTCTATCCAGGGGAGAATATAGGCTTCAAACAAAATATCCTCTGTTTTTATGGAAATAAACCAATTTTTGATACTCTTGACAAAAAGCATCAAACCACCAAGCAAAAGTACATACTCTCTGGGATGGGAATATGGCTTAGTGGTAGAGCCCTTGCCTTGCACGCATGAAACCCTGGGTTTGATTCCCCAGTACCACACAGAAAAAAAGCTGGTGCTGTGCCTCAGAGTCTTGGGCACAGAGAGGTTCAGGGATAGACCCCAGGCCCTGAGTTCAAACCCCAAGACCAGCCAAAAAAAAAAAAAAAAGTGAGTACTAATGAGAAGACTTTGGGTTATTGGGGAAGCTATCCTTGGAAAAGACTAAGACAGCTCTCCTAAGAGCAAGTTATAAGAGACAGCTTGACCCCTGAACCGTTTTCTGCATTCTTGTTTTGAGATGTGATCTCTCTCTCCCACTCCCACATGTGCTTTCAACATTGTGATGTCATCTGTCAGTGAGCATTCACCAAAGGCACAACCAGTTCTACTACCTCAATCTTTGGGGTACTAGATCTGAAAGCTAAATAAACCTCTCCAGGGTTCTACAACTGAGAGTTAAATAAACCTCTTTTCTAAGTCTGCTTGCCATTATGCTATTTTGTTACAGTAATGAAAAATAGACTAATACCTATATTAAACCCAAAACAAAATGTAACTACAACCCCATCAAATTGGCTAAATAATCAAAAACATCATGACCTGGAAAAAATATAGAACAAGTAGAACTTTCATATAGTGCTGGTAGAAGCATGGATTTGGTAAAAGCATAAATTGCTATACCCAAACTGAAAAGTATTTGGTAAGAGTTTATAAAGTTGAATGCTGACCCTATGACAACAAGTATACATATATCCACCCAGTTATACTTGGAATATGAAGTGAATGTCAAAGGCTTGGTCCCTAATGCAATGGTCAGAGCTGGGGTTTTAGGAAGTGATTAGATCTGACCTCATCAATGGAACCTAGGAAATGTCTAGCCCCAAACTCTTAGTCAAAGCAATAAATGGATTGAAACTTCCAAGATATTAAGTCAAAATAAACATTTCCTCCTTTAAGTTGCTTTTACTAGGGCTGTTTTGTCACCATGATGAAAAGCTGACTAACACAAAGTCACAGGCATTTTAAAATAGTGTTCAAGGAAGTACTATTAATAACCACCCAACCCTGGAAACTACCCAACTGTCTATCAATAGCACAGTATAAAAGTATTCATGAGCCAGGCACCAGTGGCTCACGCCTATAATCCTAACTACTCAGGAGGCTGAGATCTGAGAATCACGGTTCAAAGCCAGCCCGGACAGAAACATCCATGAGACTCTTATCTCCAATTAACCACCAGAAAACCGGAAGTGGCACTGTGGCTCAAGTGATAGAGCTGAGGGACAATGGCCAGGCCCAGAGTTCAAGCCCCATTACCAAAAAAAAAAAAAAAGTTCATGTATTGGAATACTATGTAACAAAAATGAATAAACAATGCTACACACACCATTACCACTGACAGACAGTGCAAGCATGAAGTTGAGAAAAAGTAGTAGAAACAAAAGAACACAAAAAA